GGCGGGGGGGGGAGCCTCTGCAAACGGCTCCGTTTCATGACCAGAAGGTGCTGCGCGGCGGGGAGCCTCCTTCGGTGCCGCTAACGGAATGCGACGTGCACGCGGAGTTCGATCGCCCTCCGTTGCTGCTCGGGAAAAACGACAACGCCGAGGAAAGGAAGAAGAAAACGACGATGGCTCCCGCCACCCCCCCGGGGCAAAACTGAATTGCCGATGCGACCGCCGCCGCAGGAGAACCTCGTTAGCTGAATCAGAAGCAACGGATTTTGGTGAATTGGGAGCGTGTAGTCCACGGTGGGAAAAAGGAGGTGGTACAAGTTAAAGTCGTCTCTGAGATGTTGTAAACTCGATGAGGATTCGGCTTCAATGAAGGAAACCCCCGAGGCGTTGCAATGGAGCTCTAAACGACCGTTGTTTATCCAGTGTAAACGACCGGCTAGGGTATAAAACGGCACCAGGACTCGGCTCAGTGAGTCTCTCAAGGTGGAAGCAATGGTGGAGTACATGCAGTTTTCTGGGGGGTGGTAGAAGTAGAGTGTGGGAACGTGGGTTACTTGTCCTGTTTGATCCAATTCGGATAAAGCTAAGCGTCCGCACCATGTTTTCTCCCAAGGCTTCACGGTGTGAAGTGACCTCGATAAGAGGAGGAGCACTACTGGGTACGTGTTTACTTACGGCGGAACAGCCATATCCTGGATATCAAAGTTGCAGAAGATTGTTGCACTGTCAACGACGGAAGCTGAGTACGTGGCAGTGACGGAGGCAGCCAAGGAGCTCGTTTGGCTGCAGAATTTCCTGAATGAACTTGGGAGACCTCGGGAGTATGTGGCTCTATATAGTGATAGCCAGAGTGCGATCCATCTGGCAAAGAACCCCGCGTTTCACTCACGAACGAAGCACATCGAGGTCAAGTATCATTTCATCAGGCATCTTCTGGAGAAGAAGGCACTGCAGCTCGAGAAGATCCAGGGGGACAAGAACCCTGCAGACATGCTGACCAAGGCGGTGACTTTGGAGAAGTTGAAGCTGTGTGCAGCTTCGACCGGCCTTGACAACTAAGCAGACAGACCCGGTAGTACCAAGAAGGAAGAGGAGAAAAGCTGATCAATCTTCAAGTGGGAGATTGTTAAGGTGTGAAGATTGCATAATAGAAGACTTAGGAAGAAAGCAATAACAAATTGAGGAGTGTACTCCATGCAAGGGAGTCTTGCAAGTTTGGAGATGCCAAAACCTAGTGTAGACTCAAAGCAATCCCAATGGGGTTGAACAAGTTTGGGACATTGGCTTGGCTATATATACCATTGTAGGCAAACCTCATTTTGTGTGCAGAAATTCCAAGTGAGAAATAAGAAAGGAGTTGAGTTGAGAGAGTGAGTGTTTCATACAAGTGTGTGTGAGTTGTACTCCTCGGTTTATCCTCCTCTTTTGAGTAATTTCTCCTGGCTTGGTATCGCCCCCAGACATAGGATTTTTTATCCGAACTGGGTTAACAAATTCGTGTCTTTTATCGCTTATCGCTTTCACATTCGTTATTGTGTTGTTGTTGGCCATCTTGACTTGATCCATTTCATAACACGCATATGTAATCTAGATGTAATCAACAGTTATTATCTAACTTGGTAGAACTTACCTTAACTTTATTAACATATTCAAGAGCGATGTTAGAGTTCCAGCGGCACTCATCTGCCTTTGTTTTAGATTAGTTTGTACCATTTATTTTCTTTATGAGGAACAAGACTCTTTGATTTATATGTAACTCGTGTTGGATCCATATCAGTATGTAGTAGTTTTATATGCAAGTGAAGGCACTGTCACGCTCACTGTTCTAGATTCTGAATGATTTCTTTCTGTTGACAATAACATTTTCTGTTCTAGACCAAATCAAATGAGGCCAAACACGTGAGAATATTCAATTCTAGATTCTCATCCCAAAAAGGGTATATATAGGATGTTCATTTTGCTTACGTGAGGCTGACGACGATGCATATATGGAATTTTATTAGCAAGGGTAAATCTTCAACTCGATCAACACTACACATACATTTTTTTTTTCTTATCTCTTTCTTTCATAGGTGTTAAATAGGCTGTTAATTAAATATCCAACAAAAGTTATCTTGTTTCTGATTTCTTCACATAAAATATTTTATACTATTATCATGTTACTTGTTTATCAAACAATTGAACAGTTCTTCACTCGGCTTCAAAAAGTCAATACCTCTCTCTAAGTGCATGCACTTGCATTATTTTTCCAGGAAATCTCTAAGAAAAGCTCAACCAACAAACCACACACGCCAAAACCATCAACTGTCAACTCCTACAATACTCATAGAAAAAGAAAAACGTTACACCATCTTTCATATCAATCACCTAAACATTCTTCTCCTACCAATCAATCATCACACCATGCCTCGCTGCTCCTTTGGCTGCATCTACTGCACAATCTACACCTTAATTTTCATGTTCATGCTCTCCATGATCCTCTTTTGGATAATCATCTCTCCCTCAAATGTCAAGTTCCGTGTAACTGATGCCTCCCTCACACAATTCAACCTCACAAACAACAACTTGTACTACAACTTCAAGGTCAACATCACAGTGAGAAACCCTAACAACAACATCATAGTTTACTATAGGAGGATCACAGCAATAGCTTGGTACAAGGACAATGAATTTGGTTGGATGAGCTTAACAACCTTTGACCAAGGCCACAAGAACACAACGTTCCTTCATGCAGTGTTTGAAGGGCATAGTGTGCTTAAGCTCAAAGCTAAACAACTTGGTGAGTACAAAGAGGAGACAAGTGTTGGGGTTTATGAGGACTTGGCTGTGGATTTGGACCTTAGAATAAGAACCAAGTATGGAAGGTTCAAGAGTGGTCGTTTCAATCCACCCGTTGTTCAGTGTGGCAGCTTGAGGGTTCCTTTGATTTCTAGTGGCAAAATAGCACCTCCTTTTAGTGTCAAGAAATGCAGCACTGGTTCTTTCTTTGTGGATCGTGATGCTGAATCAGGGTGAAACCTCTATACCCTAAAAATATGAGTTGACAATAATATGTTAATTGTACATAATTTTTCCATTTCCTAATCTGCACTCTGCAGACTTATGTAAAAGTGTTGCACATATAATATATACATACCTATAATAAAAAAAAACATCATGCATGTTGTATACCAAAAATAAGAAAAGTTATTAATATTGTGTAATTTCGATTTGCTTATGTTATATGTTGTTTCGTTTGTTGTTCATTTTATGGTCATAAGATTGTGCTTGATGGATATACAGTGTTCAATTTTAATTTCCAAAAGATATATTTGCAAGGAGACTAGAGAGGTAGGAACAGAAATTAATTTGGAGGATGCAATTCTCCAATAGTACGCATTGAATTCGAACTTAATTTGGTGAGATTATTCTAAATTTAATCAATAATTTCAAATTCAAATCTTGAGTATAAAATTGTGTTAAATATTAGAGGAAAAAAATTGTTAATTAGTTTTAACAAGATTATTTTTTATAAAGAATTTTATGTGGTCCAAATAAAAATAAGCATTAAGTTAATTCAAAGAGAACTTGACATGGATGTGACTTGGCATATATAATTAAGCTAAACCTGACCAAACCATTCTTCCTCTTAGGTCTCAACCATGACAAGTCTTGTATGACATTAACGGATGGTTTTCTGAGCTGTACGAACATTTCGATGTCGACATGCATCAAGTTTTAAAAGTAAAAAATGGAATAATTAATTTCTCTACAGTTTGGATTTTCATGAACTTGTTGCTAATTGGAAATAATTTTGACCCATACGCATCATTTTATTTTTTTTGAGAATGAATTGATTTTGGCTTTTTAATTGTTAATCAATTAGCACATTATAGGAGGTAAATTATATATATATATATATATATATATATATAATTAAAGAGAGAGAAAGAGAAATGTTATAATAATACCGGTATAATTTTTACTAAGTACTATATCGCTCAATAACTTTATATTAATTGTAAATTTTGTAAATTCAACTGTTAGATTGAAAGTTCATATTATTTTATATGTTTATATCAAATTATGTTAAAATTAAACAACTTAAAAGTGATCAAAATGTTTATATTTTAATATATTTTGAAATATATCTATTACGTCAATTTTATTTTATAAGAATAAAGTATCAAATCATCATAGATTAATATCAAATCATCATTTTAATAAAAATGATTGTGTCGTGGCTCACGAAAAAAATACGTAATGTGTATAAAAAAAACAATAAGTTATTCTATTGTGTAACATTAATTAATCGTAAAATTTATTAAAAAAATCAAGTATATAATAAATAAATAGTCATTTTCGGTCTATATAATAATTTACTTGACTTAAATATGACTATCTGTAATTAATAAAAAAATATTTAGTTTATTAAAAAAAATATTAAGATATATTTGAAGGATATAGGTAATTCACATGACTTTTAAGATATATTTATAAAAATTAACAAATCTAACATAAAGGATGATTTGTAATTAAAGATAGTGTAAAATTATTTTACACTTTCGGTACATAATCTTTTTACTCGTATTTGAATATTTTTATAATTTTTTTAAAAAAAACATAACCTTTTTTCCAAACAAACTTTAAAATTATACTATATATGCATTCAAAATTTAAATTTTAAAAGCAAAAAATTTAGTGACAGTTATATTTCAAAATGTATCATCATAAATTCATAATTATATCTTTATATTTAACTATATAATTATGATTAATTACCTCTCAATGTCAAATTATTTTAAGATAATTTTAAATTATTGATACAAATTAAAAAATATATACTTATGGTTAATTATACTTAAATTTTCTATATACATGCATTCCAATTATATCACTTAATTTATAATGTAACAAAGATGACCAGTTAGAAGAAATGTTTCTTCTATTTAAAGGTCTGAACAAAATATATACATAACATAAATGAAAAAATAAAATAAAATTAAAGGAAGAAATAAATTGATTTTACTTTTAAAAAAATCATATGGCAACTTTATTAAAATCTTACATATTTTAAATATATAAACAAAAATATACTACAATTAAAGATATTAAAATAAATATATTTAACATACGTATGTTATGTATACAAACATCTAGTTATATACACAAACACCATGGAGAGAAAATTTTAGTGAAAAATATATATTTATAATTATTGTTGCGCGTGATATTACGAGATAGATTAGTTTATTAATAGGACAGGGAACCTATGGCAGGACAAAAAATACGTAAAATTTAAATCTAAGAAAAACTCATGTTTATTTTATTATATTCATTCATTTTTTTAATTAAATTTATACAGTTATTATTACTGTTCAAGTAATCCTTACTTTATATTTTACTTCATTTAATAAATGATCAATATTGATCCATTTAAATATAACTTCATAAAAATTACATATTTATAAAATAATACCCTAACCATTGATATACTCACTCGATAAATATGAATTCTATATTATATTCCTTTATATATAGGCATAGATAATAGATTTTTGATGTTGATGGATTAATCAACAAATTTAGTTTATGACTGAATGCGATGTCCAAGTCAAATTATTTTTTCTTGTGTGCAAAAATTCTCATTTACCAAATGCATGAAAGGATAAACGGTTAGTTATGTTAATTGATAGGATAAAGTTGCATTTCAGTTTTAATCCCTATTATTTAGGAGATAAACCTGGTGTTTTGACTTATTCATTTGTTTGTTAGTAGAAAATTGGGCTTCATTTTCTATTTTTCTGTAACAGCTAGTTTTAAAGACTATTTATTAATTAACCTAGCTTGCTGAATAATATCTATCAATTTTGGAAACTAAAATTGAACATTAATTGCAGTGTAGCCATCAAGCACAATCTTGAGACTAGTACAAGAAGTGAGCAACAAACTGAAATAACACATATCATAGCATGCAAATCAAAGTGAATGTACATAAAATCAATCAAGATCAACAAAGTTATTAATTCGAGTAAAACTGAAATCAATCTTTCTTAAACAAATTTTAAAATATAATTGAAAGAAGAAACTCTATTAAACTTATAGAGATTAATCAATGATATTACAAATTCCTTCATATAATCTGCCTTAAGCATTTCACTTGAAGAAGTTAGTACATTTGCTGACATTAAAAGGATGTGTTGTTCTACCTTTGGAAATCAAAGGAACCCTTAAGGGGAGACACCGAACATACATTGGCTTCCAATTAGTGCTGTCGATTCCAACAATCTTGGTTGTGATTGTAAGATCCAAACCCACAGCCAAGTCATCATAAACTCTAGCACTTGTCTCCTCTTTGTACTCACCTAGTTGTTTAGGTTTGAGCCTTATCACATTATGCCCTTCAAACACTACTTTAGGGAAGGTTGTGTTGTTGTGGCCTTGATCAAAGGGTGTTAGGTTTACCTTACCAAAACCATTGTCTTTGTACCATGCTTTTGCTTTGATCTCCTTATAGTGCACTATGGTGTGTTTGTTGGGGCTTCTCACTGTGATGTTGACCTTTAAGTTGTAGTATAAAGTGTTGTTGGTTGTAAGGTTGAATTGTGTGAAGGAAGCATGAGTTACATAGAACTTGATATTTGAAGGGTCGGTGATGATCCAAATGATGAACTTGTACAAGATTGGCATTAATAAGACCAACAAGACAATGCAACTGATGTAGGGTTTGCAGCAACTCATAATGGTAGGATATGATTGAACTTTATAGGAGAAGAAGGTTAAGCCGATATAATAATACAATTGTCTCTTATGTTTTCTTTTCATCTATCTATATTTGTATTATATATATATATATATATATATATATATATATATATATAAAAGGAGGATATTATTTAATTTGAATAACTACTATTCATCTTCATTTCTTTTTAAAACTATTGTTTCTGTTATTAACTACCAAATTTCAACTACAAATTATTCACTATGTTAATATATAGTTTTTTTTTCAAAAAAAAAATTAAAAAGATAATTTTTAAATTTTAGTGACAAAACATTAATTTTTAATATTTTAAAACACAAAATTTAAACATTGGAGACAAGAAAAATAAATACATCAAATATAAAGAACTAAAACATAATTAAGTAAAAATATATATATTAAAAAACCAAAATATAGCAACATGAATGCACATCAATTTTGTAGTTTTAAAATTTTGTCAAAATTGCTTATTTTAAAAAAGTTAAAAATAATTTTAGGCCTATTAATATATTGTTTCAATTTAATTATTTAAATTTAAAATATTTTATTTTAGTCTTTAAAGTTTTATGACTTAGGGGGGTGTATTGGATTAAGATTTTAAAAGAATTTTTTAGTTAAAAAAAGTCCTGTGAATTTTAAAAGACTTCGCAAGATTTTCATGACTTTTAAGATTTTATAGGATTCTACAAGACTTTCAATCAGAATTTTAATAGATTATGCAAGACTTTTAAGTTAAGATTTTAATGGATTCTGCGGGACTTTGTAGAATTTTATAAATTTTTGAAATAGGATAAGAATTCAAGATTTTTTTTTCATATATTCAAATTTAAAAAAGAGTCAAATATAAAAATAATAAAAAAAACAATGATGTTTGGATAAATAAAAATAATATTTTTTCGTATATCATGTTGTTTTAAATAGAATTCACCCACAATTCATAGCTATACTAGTTCTCCAAACATTAATATCTTTTCGTTCTTGTTCCTGTGTTTTAATAATAGACTCAAAATTATGATTTTCATTAACAAGTAATGTTCAAGATGAAGGTTCGTCTATCACTTCAATTGGAAATTCATTATAATGACATTCTTTACGAAGAAAGTTATGTAGTCCCACATATGCTAAAAAATATTCTAAACAACATTTCAAATTTTTTATAATTTGTGATTTAAAATATTTTATTTATAATTTTATAAATGATTAAAAAAATAGTGGGACAAAATAATTTTTTATGAAATTTGTAACAGGTACAAAATAATTTTTTAATTATTCACTCGTGTTTTATGTTAATTTTCTTTTTTAAAATATAAAAATTCTAATTTCATAATATAAAAATTAAAAAAAATAAAATTCATAGTAAAAAATAAATAATAATTGTTGAGTCATAAAATGGGAAGGATAACAATAATAAATTCAAGAGAGGGAGAGAGATCACAGTTTATGCTGAGAGGGTTCTTCCCCCAACAAAGATCCATTCTTATCTCATTCTACTTACAAAAATCCTAACTCAAATTCATCTTTTACATATATATATATATATATATATATATATATATATTAATTTTAGCTTTAATCATAAGATAATGGAATAGGAGCAGTAGTACAATATTATATATAAGTAGTAGTGCAATATTATTAACAAGAGAAAAAAAAATAGATAAGACATGAGCATAGAAAAAAAAGATGAAAAACTCACTTGAAAAGTCACTTCAAACAATCCTCCAAAATCTTATGGGTTTGGATGGGAATGTTTTATGAATTTGGTATTTGTAGATATCACTAAAAAGTCCATCAAAATCTCTCTAATACAACAATCCTTTAACATCTCTATATTTTTGAATACCAATGGATTGTTTTTAAGTTGTAAAAAGTCTCAAATGAATATCAATGAATTTTAATGGACTCTTTAAAAAATCTTGAAAATCCTGATTGAATACCATTAGATTGTTTTTAAGTGACATAAAATCCTGATTGAATACCAATAAACTTTTATACTCAAAAAAAGTCTTTTAAAATCCAATGAAATCATAAACCAATACACCCCTCTTAGTTAATCCTCTTCTCAATTTATCTTACTAGTTAATTAATATAATAACATGTAACAAATTATAAAAATGTCACGTCAGTTAAAATTGCAACAAAAAAAAATAATGAAAACGTTTTAAAAAATCAAGTAAAAAGTTTTAAATTTAAAATATCATGCTAAGCTTAAAATAAAAATAAAAGATAAAAAATTTAATTTTATCCTTTTAAATTTAAGCAATTTTCTTAGAAACTTTTTGCTTACAATGGGGTTTTGTAAAAATTTACACGAACAAGACCCAAAATTTCATCTAAGTTCTAAGTTGTAACTGGCGAACCCCTCCAAAACCCTCTTATGAATCATTATCGTTAACCCCTCTTTCGTTCTGAATCAAATTCCCTGTTGAATTGAACCCATGCCATTGATTCACACTACTCACTATGCCATTCCTTCCTTCACCACAGTTACCAATGCACCATCTCTCTCTGTTGCCGCCACATTCGCTTCCAATTTTCACCGCAAAATCCATAACCCAATTTTCGGGTTTTCCACCACCGCCAGGAATCGCTCGCGCGCTGCGGTGATTAGAGCCAAAGCAGGGACCGATTACTATTCCACCTTGAACGTTAGCCCCAATGCCACGCTGCAGGAAATCAAGGCCTCCTATCGCAAACTGGCGCGCAAGGTTCCAACTTTCTCCTCTGTTTACGTGCCAATTTAATGGGTCGTGTTTGGTTTTGGGGGAAATGGAGCCAATTAGGATAATTGGAATATGGGTTGCTAGGTTTATAGGAAATTCATGCCGTAACCCAGCATGTTCTATTCATATTAATAACTGTAAATTGAGATTTTTTGGTACTTGTACGGAAATACGTGTGATAAGCCATTTCGTGCATTCGTATTTATGGTAATATACAGCTTATGGCTATATTTGTTAGATATATAACATGAGGAATGTTAGCAACACTCTTTTCAAATAATTCCAGATATACTCTTTATTATTGATGAAGTGTTATTTGAAATTGCAAAATAATTGGGTTTATTGAATAAGAAGTGAGATTCGCTCACAATATTTTGTGATTTTTTTTATCAATTTTGGTCAATAATAGAAAGTATGTTTAAAAGAGTATGTTAAAGAATATGGTATGTTGCAACTTGCGAGTACCAAGGGAGTCTATCTTAGTTGGTTGAGCAACTTTTGTGAGTTAATGTATATTCGTTGATACTGAATTCGATTCCTATGGATAAAAAAATAGTGCATGTTGCAAATATTTCTATAGAAGTAATAGAACTGCTTACGTGCAATGCAACAGCTTAAGCTTTTGGGAGTATTGGTTCATGACATGTTGTTCGCATGTTTCTTCATGAGTTAAATGTTAGCACAAGGTAGGGTGAGTGTTGAGCCTGTGCATTTGTCCCTGCTTTAAGCCCAAAGGGCTCTTGTATTTGAGGGCATGTTAGATGTAAAATGATCGATGTTCCTTTACCAAACAAGTTATTCTTTGAGAAGAATTGATCCATGACATTTTTTTTAATATTTTTTTGGGATCAGTACCATCCAGATATGAATAAGAATCCTGGGGCTGAGGAGAGGTTTAAGGAAATAAGTGCTGCATATGAGGTAATTCTTTCCCTAGAATGATGCCTTCTCTTTTGTCTGTGGAAATACATGCTCAGGCAGGAGACATTTTTGGATTCATTAAGGGGCTTCTTTTAAGTCTTTTGCTCCATGCATTTGTTTAAATATTCTGTCCTACTAAGCTCTTTGTTTATGATCTGAGCGTTGGCATTTCAATCTCTTATTCTTTTTCCTGTCTGTGATACGAGGCTGGATTGGTGAAATTTATATATAATTGTGTTACTTCATGAATGATAACTGCATTTATACTACATTGTATTTCTCCTTTTTATTCGTGTGGTAACAAACCATGCATATAGGTCCTATCAGATGATGAGAAAAGATCTTTATATGATCGCTTTGGTGAGTCAGGTCTACAAGGAGAAAATGGAGGTTCAACTGGTGCTCCAGGGGTATGTGCATGCTTTTGACTCTTTTGATATGATTATCTATGTCTTCAGAAGTAACATTTTTCCTTTTTATTTCTTTTCCCACCTTATTGCTTGTTTTATTTTACTGCTAATGCCTTCTGATGATTAGGTTGATCCTTTTGATTTATTCAATGCATTCTTTGGTCAATCTGAAGGACTATTTGGAGATGGTGATGAAGGGGGCATCAACTTCAATTTTAGAAACAATAGAAATCGTGGTCGTGATATTAGGTAACTATCTTCTCAATATTATGACTAGTTTCTATGAGAATTTACTGAATGATTACTGAATAATTACTTTATGAGTGAATTTTTCAAAAAAATTGTAATTGTTCTTATTTAGCATTCTCCTGCCTAAAGGGATTTTCCCCCTTGTGTATAATTAGAAGAATTTTATCCAACAGAAAATAGAAGAACTGAAAGCAGAAGGGTGAGGTGTTGTTTTTCCAGAAACAAAAATAAAAATAAAAAGGATAAAGAAGAACTAGAAAATGAAGCCCTCAAATTTATTCGGCTGATATTTATAATAGACCATCAGTGAAGCACCAAAAAGCAGGCTAATGAAGTTATCTGATGTACAATAAATTTCCAGGAAAGCAGTATAAATCTTCAACGTTTAGTACTTTTTACAGTGAGAATTGTCTCAATCGTTGAAAAAGGCTCACTAGTTGCAAGAAAAAAGCATGTTTAGTTGTTTACCCAGTAAGAGTAACTGAGTAAGCACTAAGCAGTCTTTGCTCTGTAGCTATATTCCAAACCTTCAAATAATGCACTAACAAATGGCTTTGTGTGTCTGAATTCATATTCCAACAGAATTGTGTTGTACTCTAACTTATTTTGATGTTGATCTTATAATGCGTCATGGGATGGAAAAGAAAACTAAAGCATTCATTAGGGCCTGGGACTACAAAGAAATCGCATAAAAGAAACTTGAGTATGACTTAGATTACAAATAATGCAATAAAAAAGAGTTACCGCCAAAGGATGGAACTTATCCAAGAAGTCTGAATGTTGAAGTGGAGAAAAGATAACAGAAATAAAGTAACTACTGAAGAAAATATTATTATACATGAAACCAATACAACTTGTCTATGTCATGGTTCACTATTTGATGCTATTCTTAGAATTAATTATACTATTGTTGTGATTCAGGAATTGTGTGTCTTGTTGTACACACACCAATCTTATTTATAGAGTGAATACAATAAATGATAGAGATATGAATCTCTTATATTATGGAAACTAATCTAATCATATCCCTAATTGATAGTGAGGATAATATATGTAATATATGTATCCAACAATATCTGTACAATATCTGTAACACTCCCCCTCAAGCTGGAGCATATATATCATATGCGCCAAGCTTGTTACAAATATAATCAACCCGAGGCCCTTTAAGAGATTTTGTGAACACATCTGCTAACTGGTCACTAGAGTGGACAAATTCAGTGGTGATTTCTCCTGAGAGCACTTTCTCTCTTACAAAATGACAATCTATTTCTATGTGTTTAGTCCGCTCATGGAAGACTGGATTGGAGGCAATGTGGAGAGCAGCTTCATTATCACAGATGAGTTTAGTTCCCTGAGTGTCTCCAATTTGAAGTTGCTTGAGAAGTTGTTGTAGCCATGTAACTTCACTTGCAGCTGCTG